GGTGACTTTAACTTTCGAGCCATCAACTAGGAGGCTGAAAGCGCGCAGAGGATCCACGGATGACGCATTCCTACAATGGGTGCAACTGCACGGGCTGATTCAACAGGTTACGATGTCAATAAGACACCGAGAGGGTCAATCGCCCTCACTATTAGATTTATTGATTACAAGGTGCCATAAGGATATTAGGATTAGACATCCGGAGGAAAAGGTACGCAGCGTAAGCCAAGTACCGCAACAGTCAGTCATTTCATAGCTATAAAAAGGTAGTGGCGTGGCATCCTAACTATTAGGTTTTCTAAAAATGACCGATTTGGATGTATTTTAGAAATATTGATGTCGAATTCGTTTGAAATTGAACATATTCTGCTTTTGGTTGATTATAAGTAATTTGTTGAACTGTAATCTGTTTTAATTAACCTCAGTCGACTTTGTCCGGAAAGTATAAATACCACAACCAAATGGCGACAATCACTTCCACGCTCATACGAACCATGGCTCATGTTGATCATACGGTCGTTTTTGAACGAATGGTAAAAAATTGCTATGGATCGCTGGACGGATTCGTGGAGGAATTCCGTGAAATCCAAAGGGTTATCTGCACTTCCTTCTACGTTTATGCATCAACGACAGCGGAACAACTGATACGAGGGAGAAACTTTGGTCGGAAACTGACTGTTTAAGGGTTTTCCGAACTATTTCATCAAATATTGCTGTGAACATTACAGAAGGCGTGGCGCAACTGCACCCAGGTAATCATGGATCTCATGTCTAATGTATTTAATCCATTTAAAGCTGCAAAATATCGATCGTCCGACATTCGTTGGAATTCGCGCGGTCGGGAGGGAGTACCGAGCAATGAAACGTTGTCTGGTGCACAACCATTACTTCCATGAGGGTTAGTGGGGTATGTATATAAGTATCTGTCTATCTGAAGAACAGAAAAAAGTGTCCATTTTCTCAATCAATTTCATATCAGTACACAGATCCAGCTTCAAAGCTAGACTAGTGGAACGAAAGACCAGGAGATACATGGTTCTCAAAGTGTTATGAGATACTACTTACTTGTGAGTAGTCGGTAACTTTCGGTAATTAAAAGTAGAACAAGACCTTCAAGAACCATGTATTGTATTTGGGAAAGTAAACACTGCCTATTCTACCCATTACTCTGTATGTCGCGATGCGCTGCGATGGCATGTTTCTGATAATGTTTTCGTGTTATGTGTGGAAAATTAGTGACCTTCAATCTGTATGCTGCAATAAACAACCCTCTTCGACCAGCACCTCCTTTTCGGAGTATAACAATTGGTGCCGTCGCCAGGGTCAGGATGATGGTTTTGTGGCCAGCAGCCTTCAAGGACGGGGATGTGCGGATTTTCCTGAAGGAGTTCGAGGATGTGGCGGAGCTGGCCGGAATACCGACGGATCGCGGCAAATTGACGGCCCTCCGAGCTCTCCTCAAGGGTCGTGCGCGGGTAGTGTTGGACGCGGCACGAAGAGGCCCGGAGAAAATGGTGCGAGCCGCCGTGAAGGACGCCCTGATCGCGGGCGTTGACACCCCAGCCGACCGCCAGGTGGCACTCTGTCGCTTCAAGACGGTGCAGCTCGGAGTTGGTGTGGACCCACTTTCGCATGCCGTGGCCCTGCGTGGGCCACTGGATCGCGCACTACCGACACGGGATGAGAATGCTTGATCGAAACTACTCCTTGACCGTTTCACATAGAGCCTCCCGGAAGACATATGCGAGAAAGCGAAACTCATAAATGTTGCAAGCACCATGGGCGTAATGACGCTGACCGAATTCGTGAGGCAGTTCATCGATCAGGAAATTGCGGCGGTGCGAACACAGGAAGTCCATGAGAATGAGCCACCGGAAGACGTGAAGGCCACAGTCGACATACTGACGGATGAAGTGGTGGCACTCAAATCAAATTTCGGACTGAAGAAAAACACAAACGCATGTTTTCATTGTGGCAGGCGAGGTCATTGGTGGTGAAATTGCCCTGAGATTTATAATAACTTCTCTTCAAATACGCCATTGTTTCCGTACACGCGTCTTCTCTCAAACAAAGCAATCATCGGAGGAGTAAATCGCGGGGCAGTACAGGCCAATTTGGAGATCGAGGGGCACGGAGAACTATGCTTGATCGATACAGGTGCAGCAGTGTCTTTGGCTAGACCCCAACCAAACGAGCTCCTGGAAACGTGGAATACAGCTGTGAAAACAGTCGGGGATTACCAGTTGAAGGTAGACGGAGTAGCCAAACGAACGGTTCGCGTTGGAAATAGTATAATCAAGCACCCACTTGTCATAACAAAAGACACGAGCCAGATTATAGTGGGGCCAGAAGTCTTACGCAGCTTAAGGGCCGTGGTTGATCTGAACAACGAACAGCTTTTTACCGAATTCGGCACAATCCCGCTGTTACGCTCCAAAGGGAAGAGGTTGGCAACCGTGAGTACAGAAACAGCTCACACGAATGTATCTCCTTCATTTCGGCCATTGGTGCAACGATACTCCCACCTGTTCACGGGCGATGATGACCCCTACGGGTTCTGTAACTGGGTCGAACACGAAATTCCAATGAAGGCAGGAAAATTTCGAGCCCATGTTTCACGTTGAATTCCACTACACCTGATGGATGAAGTCAAGCGACAGGTCGAACAAATGTTAAAGGAAGGTGTCATCGAAGAAACTCGAAGTCTGTATAACTCGCTCGTGCTGCTGGTGAAAAAGCCCAATGGTAAATTTCGGTTCTGTGTGGTTTTCCGCCAAGTAAACACTGTGACTATAAACAAGCCAGTCCCAGTCCCGACTATGGTAGAGATTTTTGACCAACTGCAAAGCGAAAAAGTGTTCTCAGTGGTGAATCTACGATCGGGATATTGGCCCGTACCAATAAAGGAAGCTGATTGAGAGAAAACGGCCTTCACAGTCGGCAATAAAGAATGTCAGTTCAAACGAATGCACCATTTACATTCCGCCTCCTCATGTCGAATTTACTCGAAGGTGTCCCCAACGTGATGGTCTGTGTCAACGATATTTTTGTCTAGAGTCAAACAACAACCGAACCCACATTCCACTTGGAAAATGTTCTGAAAAGAATCCAAAAATCTGGCCTTCGGATCAATGCATCGAAGTTCGAAATTGNNNCTGTTCCAGGGCAGGCGTGATCTCGTAGATCCGAAACACCACACTTGACTCGGACACAAGGTTGGGAACGGAGAAGTGAAGTCACTCCCTGAGAAAATCCTCAAGCTAAAGGAGTTCGTACGCCCAACATCGAAAAGAACATTAAGAAGGTTTCTGGGCTGTGTGGCATACTATAGCCGGTTCGTTAAAAACTTTACGAACATCGCCGAACTGTTGTACACCTTACTCAAAAAGGAATCTTGCTTCAGCGGGACACAAGACGCCCAGAAAGCCTTCAATGAACTCAAAAGGATCATGACCGAACAAAACCTGACTGAAGTTGCCGGTAATTGGCGAGCACTTCACAGTGGTAACGGATGCCAGTGACGTGGGATTGGGAGCCATACTCAAACAAGC